GTCCGTCCAGGGGCTGCCCCCGGCATCGGGGCGCTGCGGCGGGAGCGCAGGCTGCGGAGAAGCCCCGGGGCTCCGGCAGTGCCCGGGAGAACAGCGGGCTCCGCTCCGGCTCCTGCTGACCTGCCCGATGTGTTTGTGGCAGCTGGAGCTGGGTTTGCCGCGGCCTCGTTTACCGGCAAGGAGAGCTTGCTCCTTCCCTGGCAGGGCGCCACTCGCTAACGAGCTGTGCTTTCCTCCGCTGAGAGTCTCCCCATCTCTCTCTCTCTCTTTCTTTTTTGTCTGGGTAGGAAAGTTTTAAAAGGACAACTGCCACTTAGGGAATATCCAGAAAGCAACTGACCTTCACCGTATCCCCAGCCTGCTGCAGTTGACAAGTTCTTTTTCAGTCCCTGAAGAGATGGCTTCTGTTTGCTTTACAGTGGAAATGTTACTGTGATATTTGCCTGCCCCTCATTCTAAATCGGCAGAACGCATTCGAAAACACCAGATCCATTCTGTAAATTCTAACGACTTCCTTCCTTTCATTTCTAGTTTGTCCCTCTGAATCAGAATTTTTCCTGGTATTTCAGAATGCTGTTGGATATACAAATGCTTCACTCTCTCACTACACAGGGTATGACCTGCTATGCTGCTATTGTAAGGAACTGGCCTTATGCTTAGAGATTTAGAAACCCGGTATTTTTGGAAATTCTAATAAATTAATCTAATTTCCTTAAAAGACAATATTTTRAACTGTATTGATGAAAATTGTCAGTAGATGGTAGCTAGCCAGGCAGCTGGGCATTTACCAAAACACCAAATTAACAAAACTGCTACACAGTTTTACTCAAGGTTTCATACATTATTAAGAGTTAAGTATTAGACAGCATCCATTAATGTATAAGGCCTTTGCACTGGTGACGCACGCTTGCTATTTCTTCCAGTTGATGGTTTTGCAAACAGTACTGAAATGTTGTTGCATGCAGTTAACCGTTATGTCATTTAGCAGTAAATTGCCATTACACTTTCTTTCCCCAGGCTGCCAGCACCCCCTTTGAGCATTTACCATGTCTGCTTTGCTATATCAAACTGGTAGGCCCTAGTTAACTCGTCCAGGTGGGCTTGAAGCATTGGCTGCATCTCCTCTCGTGGAGATGGTGTGAGAGTCGCAGTTGACTGCTGGCCAAAGGAGATGGCGGGCGATGAAGCCACCCCTCGGACAGGCGGTGTGGGAACGCGGTCGTCGTCCTCTTCAAGCTCATCCTCCATGCCCTGATGTAGGTAGGTCTGAACTGGCAAGGGCGGGCACCACCCATCACTGTCGTATCTAAAGCAGAAACCAGGAAAACTTAGTACATAGCAAATCTCATCTCTGACATGCACTACAGAGTATACAGGGGGTTTGCTRCAATTAAAACACTTGCAGGCAGTGTGGGAATTAACACGGGGAAACTGGGCCATTATKGCTTAAATTGCCTTTACTGATTCTGTTTAATTTTTCCTCCAACTGCTAAGCAACTTGAACAAGTAGGGCAACCAAAAAAAATTACGGGTCTGTTACCACATTTGTTAATGCTGATAAGATAATTGTACTCTGCACTCCCTAACAGAAATAAACTAACTCACTTTCTGGACCATTAACCTAGAAGAATGCACTGCAGATTTACCTAGACATGGAAATAAAAGCATTCTTAAAATGCAGAGTRAGGTTTATGCATTTGCACTTAGGTCCTTCCTTCTTTCAATCCTTCCCTCTGTTTATTTATAAATTTATTGTATATTATTTATTTTGCAGCTTAAAGAAGCTACACTTTCCACATTATGATTTTCCCACACTGCACAAACATATCTTATATGGTGTTCACRCATGTAACATGAATGTGTTATATACCTGGATATTATAACATACGTGCTCATTGATACATTCATGCTGTAGCAACACTCACCCTAGCCATATGCTGTGTCACAGTGCTAGCTGGTAAAATGCATGTAGAATAGACCTTGAAAACTCTGCCAGCACTTCACCTCATAATCAATCTTTAATRGGATTTACCTAGACAGTGCTAAATTTCAGAATATTTTCTAAACGCATGCCCAAAATAAATTATTAAAAGCTAGTAATATATATGTCCTCACATTTAAGAAATGTTTGGATAGATATTACATTTGTCTGGAAGAATTTTTAATCTTACATCAATATTTAAGAGATTATATGTTATATCTGACCAAGGTCAGAAACAGATATTTTATAATATACTACAACTTGTCATGCTTTGCAARTGATCCAATCTTTCCTTCTCTCTGCCCCATCTCAGAACTTTCAACTGACTTTTATATCACGGTATCATCCCTGTACCCTGTCCCTTGATGACACCTGTGTCACCAGGACCTGTGGCCCCTGCAGACTATGGCCATGATCTGAGCTCTCTCTTGCCAGAATCATTTTCCAATCCGAACACTGCTCCAGTTGTGCACAGTTGTGCTGGCAATCACACCAGCCAATCTCCACACTTTCTACTCTTCTGACCTTCAAAACATGCTTGGCAATCCCCAGTGAGCATCTGTGTACAGCCTATTCCAAAGCCCTCTATTTCGGGATAGAGAGCACCTTTCAGAAGATAGCCAGACTATCACAGACTATCACAGCTACTGCACCATCCGCAGCATCGCAGGCTTTAAAGACTGTTCTCCAGGCATCATAAGTCACTTTATCTTCTACCCATCTTTAAGAACTGTAGACATCTCTCATAATGAGATATAACTTTTGTTGGCAATASAGGCAGGTAATGCACTGAGTTATACAGGTACTTTCTCAAAACGTTTTAATGAATGCCCCTTTCAACTCTCTCTACGTAGAAGCCATTCCCATCACCAGTTTACCAGAGTAAGATGAATCACTGACTGTTKTCTCAAGTGAAGTTGGGATACAGAATGACTAGGAAAACAGAGGACCTTTTAGAGCTGTATTCTGAATGGAACATCTACTTTGAGCAAAACCAAAATATTTCTAAAAGTAATGATACTTTTCGCCCTCTGTATTCAAAAGTTCAAATTCAGAATACTAGATTAATCGCACTTGATTAGTAGGATTAGTATTTGGAAGAATATCTTGTAATTAAAGTTGCTATTATTTCATACCTAGTTATGTTTACAGATGGTATGGTTACAGATAGACACACATGTATTTGTGTGTAGGAGGGCAAATAAATATATATTAAATAAACATATTTTACCACTGGTACTTAAGCGTTTTGGGGTAACTGACTTCTTACCATGACTGTTCTTATGGCACAAAGCCTTAAGAAAATGTTGTATGGCACATACATAGTTCTTTAAGGGATGTTTGCTGATTTGTCTTTCCTTGCAACACTGACTCACGACATCGCATTGCTGTAGGGCACCCTGTGTCCCGTGCTCTGGGTGTCCCTGCTGGAGCAGGSATTGGACTAGGTGATCTCTAGAGGTCGCTTCCAACCTCAACCATCCTGTGATTCTGTATSTCTTGCAGTAATTTCATGAGGATTAAAGATGATGATTTAAGTCCCTACATGAGTTCTGTTAAACAAACACAAATCTTCATGTTTTTAAGCTTTGCTTTCCTTTTGTTAATTTTATTCTATATTGATCTTTTGCTACAAACAAGCGAAACAGTCACCATGTTTTTCTTTCAATAAAGATATTGTAACAAACAACATTTCCCTCACCAGCTCTTGCTAGAAAGGATTTTTGGATGACTCTTGTTACTGGGATTGGCTCAAGATCATGTATATTAGTGGTGAAAAAAGTATAAATAGACGATAATAAATAAGTAATCATCATTTTGTTACTCTCAAATTTACTAGATAAAACCAAGTAAAAACATTGTCTCTAAAAATGGAGGAAAAGGGACTTGACTGGAATATGCGACTACAAAGAGAAACCACAAAGTCCCTGCAGATGTAAGTGAATATTAAGACAACAAGGAACAAACACAGAGTTTGTGGAAGACATGCAAGCTCCCACTGGAAAGAGCTTGCTTGGGAAGCAACAATACAAGCGAATCTTCTGGGGAGGTTCAAGAGTAAAAGTAATTCAAGATATCAAAAAATCTATCATGTTACATAAAATGGCCATAACTTGCACTAAAACGATCAATTATCTTTCCTTGCACATGTTGCAGCTCASGGAAGAATGGAAGTGAACACACACATTTTTCTGGGCAGACAGTGCTAAAGACAGCCATGAGTGTGTGGGKTTTTTTTTCTTATCTAAGTCCATGATTAAGTCAGTGACTTTTWAAATTGTTGTTATTAAGGACATTTTATGTATTTGTTAGTCAACAGCCCTCTAGCATTGATTTCTTGTAAGCAAAATAAGGTGTCAAAACTGTTTAATTTCTTTGGGATGCCCATACCAATGAACCTTGCATTTGAATTTAAGAGTTATGGGGAGATAGAGGATAGAAAGTTAAGTGTTATGGGGAGAGAAGGATAGAAAGTTAAGTGTTAGGTTTTTTTTAGATGACACTTTCTTTGCTTTATTGGGACACTGAGAACTTTATTGAAGTTTTCTGATTGGAAGATCATTTTTAATTATTATTCACAATATAATTGTCTGAATATAACACATTTAAAATTGAAACATATACTGTACTTTYAATACATAGTAATTACATCAGAAAAAAAATCAAGGAAAAAAACCCAGCTTGAAAATCAAAACAACTGCCAGGTTTTCTAACCAATATGTCAACATTAAGAGGAACATGGGGAATATAGGCTGATTCTTTCCATTTCAGCACATTAAAAAACACGGAACAAGATTAATCCCTGAATACAGAAATACCCTTAAGATTGAATAGATCCTCGAGAAGAACAGTCACTGCAGCTTCACTGGGTTCAGCAGAACTGGTTGAAAATTACTGTAGCTCCGGGCTGACACTCTAAGCCAATTTGGCCTTTAATTGCTAAGATGCTCATTAGAAGATCAATCTAAGTTACTATGGCTACTAATGAAATAAAAAATAATAATTTTAAAAAAAGTAATTTGAAAAATAAACAGAGGAAAACCTAATTCTGAATTGTGGAGAACCTGGAAAGCTATTTATCCTAATAACTAGCGCTGTCCTGGAGTCTAATACATTCAGTCACCAGGCTAGATAACAGCGTGGTAACAGATACCTTACGTAACCAGAGGAGTCAGCCCTGTGTCACAAAGGCTTTCACAAGAAGATACATCATCTTACCTCTCTTTTATACTGTTGCATTGTCCTAAAGGAAAATACAAGTTTTTGCTTACTATAGCATAATTAGTTTTTGTGAAATAGCTGCATGGGAATTTTTARGGATGTAAATTAATATAGAGACATATCACATGGCTACACTATCTGTATTTTTTCTTTTTTTAAATCAGGATACGGAATATAATGATTCTCTGCTGTATTTGTGTGAAGTTTAAGCAATACCCATAATCAGTAAGGATATACAGTGTCCTTCACATGTTCTTTGGATTTCTAATTCGTTTACAGCCTGAACAGAATTTCATTTTAAAAGGAACTCCTCTGACTTACACAATCAGTTATTATTAAATCTGAGTGGAAGGAGTTGATATAAATTCGAATATTAGCATTTATTTCTTCAAATTTTCACCATAGAAGTAGTAATGGATGGTTTATCCTTATAAAAGAGGTAATATTTGAAATGTTTTTATTTAAGAAGCTGTTACAGTGATTTTAAAACATGTTTTTCATTCTTAGGAAATACTGATTAATCCATGAATTCAAACAGGTAAATAGTTGTGCCAGACAGAACTCCGGTATTTCTCAAAGACACCACCCGAGATTATCACAGTGAACTATTTCTCTCTATATCTTAGTTTTTCTCTAGAGTTCGATAGAAAAGTAGTTCATATAATTTCACTTTATAAAAATCATTCCATAATTGCTCTCTGTGCAGGAAATGTCTCTCTCCTCTTTAGTGAATGCTTTTTGTCACTTTGTGTCCTTGAGAAGCAGTTTCCACTATCCAAAAACAACCGTAAAGCTCCAGACATCCACAAGTTGTTTAAACTCAAGAAATGCCTACAAATAGCATGCCTTTTTCAACCGTGAAATTTCTTCTAAAAGCCGATGAGAAGATCATTATCCACTGGTTGATCTTCCAAAATTAATCCAATTTAGTGAATTTTTTTTTTTCGTTCTGCTGGCTCTCGTATTTCTCAACATCAAACTGGGAAAAAATACAAAGAGCCAGATTATGTCACCCTGACTCACTCTGAGTCCCATCATCTTCAAGCAGTCCAAGAGAATTCAATTAAGCTACCTGTGAAGCGAGATGCTTCTCAGCATGAGCAAGCACAGAAGCCCTACATCATGATGAAGCAAGGTCACTTTTATTTCCATCTTCAGTCATCATCAAGAGCAGCTATTCAATCATTCCTCTTCTATAGCCTTGAAAAAGGCTGTAAGATAAGCCCCTCCTTCTTCTCCTTTTATTTTTTTTTTWWAAAAAAAACAAAATAATATTTTTATTTGGCAGAAAAGGCCTCATCTCTGCAAACCACAGACTTTGCTTCAACAAAAAAGAGAAAAATTACCCTGCTTCTTGCTGATCCACCCCATAGTGTTCCAGCTCTGTGCCTGGAAGCGGCTGCACGGGAGGGGGCGGGAGGGGAACATTGGCCCAGGTCGAACCATTATTTTTCTGGGGCTTGGCAGTATTTTTGGTTTTCTTCTTTTTCCCTCCTTTGCCACCTGCAAATCCAAAAAGAATAAGAAAAAGTTAGAGGTATAATGTGAAAAAAAGAGATGGCTATTTACATTTCTTTGAAAGAATTCTGATTCCAGATGGCATGCCCAAAAAAGAAGATGTATTTATAGCTTGGCAGAATCAGGATCAACGTGTTAATGTTGTTACAAGGTTATAAATAATAACAGACTGGAATGGAAAAATATAATTGCTGAGAAACACATCTTTTTAAAAAATGAGCTTGCTACAGTTGTACCACAATAGCACATAACCAAAGACACATTTCTCTGTATCAAAAATGTTATTTATTGATTTATTCATGTCTGCTTTAGGACTTCTTGCATTCATCATTAGATAAAAACATAATAGACCATGGCAAATTCTTTGAAATGTCAGCATCCAATGTGCTTATAACACTGTTTTGCATAATCTCTTTCTCTGGAAAACACAGAGGTTAAGGACACAATCTAAAAAAACCTGTCATGATACTAAATTTCTTTCAGTCAGCAAGACAAGTGTAAGTTGTCAAAACAAAAAGATCTAGCTTTTTTGCTCAAACAAATTTACTAAGCTCYATTTTTCAAAATATCAAGAGATGTTTGCAGTGTTTTAGGGCAGGATTCAAGTATCTTCTGTCAAAATGGACAGAGTTYTAAGTCTGATGCAAGACAGTTGTGGACATGACGTGAGCAACACATCTTGCTTTAGCCCTCTTCTCCTTTCTTACTGTCCCTGCACCCACTTTTGAGACAATGATTTCATGTGTAGGAAAGGGATCTTAAAGAAATTACTCTTTCCCCACTTGTTTCTTGTTCCCAATCTCATTTTTTCTTTTTTTCTTTTTTTCTTTTTTTTTTTTTTTTGAACGCTCACCCTCTGTTTTTCTAGTCAGCAATTTATTAAGAAGTATGGGACAAAAAGCATTTACAGACCCTTGACTGTTTTCAGACCCATCCGTTTTTGGCCACTTAGTTTGGACCTGCAAACTCACTGAGTCATTGGKCAGAAGATCTGTGTGCCATGTTTTCCCTGGAGAAGAGAAGGCTGAGAGGGGATCTGATTACTGTGTATAAGTTCAGGAAGGGAGAATGCAGGGAGGAAGGGGACAGGCTGTTTTCACTGGTGGCCAGCGACAGTACAAGGGGTAATGGCCACAAGCTGRAGCAYAGGAAGTTCCGTCTCCAGGTGAGGAGCAACTTCTTTCCTGTGAGGGTGACAGAGCAGTGGAACAGGCTGCCCAGGGAGGTTGTGGAGTCTCCTACTCTGGAGGTCTTCAAAACCCRCCTGGATGCCGCCCTGTGCCACATGCTGTAGGTGTGCCTGCTTGAGCAGGAAGGTTGGACTAGATGATCTGTAGAGKTCCCTTCCAACCTTGAATATTCTGTGATTCTGTGATGTGCTGTTTCTGCGAGGTCGGCAGTGAGTCAGTCACTCTTTCCTTTGCTTGTTGCAAAAAGCACAGTCTAATCCAGCTTACTCACTGTCACCTCATGCTGACTTACAAGTGCCAGCCAAAAAAATCTATATAAAAGAGCCTCAGGTGACTTGCGAGTAGAGGGAGGTGGTGGGCACCGCTTGCCACAGCGCTGACTGCAGGCACAGAGACATCCCGGGCGAGCTGCAGCTTTGGGGACACAGACAAGCTCGAGCCACGGGACCCGTGCTCTGGGAAACAACTGCTTTTCTTCTCCCATCTCCAGCTGTCAGCTGGACCCAAATGGAAAGAACAGAGGGGGGGGAACATGTGGTTGCGTGGTTTAGACCCAGCCAGATCTTTTCTTTCCACCTCTTGTTCTGACTGCTAGAGTCAGACTTGCTGCCTGGCAGGAGCGGGCCCAGCAGTCAGCAGGTTGCAAGGGGGACCTCCTTCTCTCCACAACCCAGCTCCAGACCAGGGCTCTTCCTCGACCTGGGATATCTATAGTAGGTCCATGAAAGATCCCAGCATTCACTATGTGGGAACCGAGCTGATAGTCCACGTATTAGGCTGCAGTATTCCAGGTATTAGGCTGCAAGCCAGGCTCTTGCCTTCTTCTCTAGTGTGGGAGCAACGTTCTTAAAAAGGGAAAGATCATTTTTACCAACAAAGAAGGAACTGCTGGTAGTAGCAGTGGAGGAACAAATGCATGAAACATCCCAAGGGAAAGCAGCAAAGCTTTCAAGGTAGAGGGAGAGGCAAAAGCAGAGATAGAAATAAGGTCACGGAAAGGTACAAAGGAAGTAAATGAATTTAACTAGTAAGACATGAGGAAAATTTGGAAAGGTCTGCCAGGACAGGAATTGAAAAGGACTGCAGGAGGACGGAAGTGTCCAGGTATGTGTGTGTGATGCATGTGTGCATGCTTTTGTGCAAGAGGGAGATTAAACTGGGAGTACTCAAAGAAAAGAAATGCAGAGGAAACTTTATTCTTAAAGGTTCCTCTAGGTGGAGGGGCAAATTCTGAACATAGAGCATCTTGGTATGCTTAGGAGGCCAAGGACATGGATGTGTGGGACACAACTGTGGTGTAAATTGCAGAGTTTTGGAGAGAAAGGATAAAGATATGGGAATTCTTAGAAAGAATGAAGAAAAGAGCTGAGAAACTGTTCAGCTGAAGAAATAAAAGCAAAATAGTCCAAGGACACCGCTAGTGGGGGCAGCAACCTACACTGTACAGCTGAGCAGGAGATGCTCTTCTCCTTTCACTGTGGGTAGAGCTACTCCACTGTCTAGTGGGACAGATAGTTTCTACATCCACGGTGCATTTGAAATCTTGCACAGAAACCTCATTTCTCCCTATTGGAGTGTCTAGATATTTCAATATCTCCTCATATTGGAGTTCAGTTATATTGCTTAAATCTCTGCATGAGTCAGACTCTGGGAAAAGAATCTGCCAGTCGGGCTGATGATCACAACACTGGCACAAGCTGGGTGCTGTGAAAAGCACAGCCACAAAATGCCACTACTTCACAAAGCAGTTGTGGTTTTAGCTATTTTCCACTCCAGAGCAGGATAAGATTTCTCAGAGCACTTGCTGGAAAGAGAGACAGACTTAGAATTATAAATAATTAAAATACTAACCAAGGAAGTAAAAAAAAAAAAGTCCCTCCTTGCACTAATGAGGACTAGCTAATCAAAGCTGGCCTCTGGCTCCAGTGACATTCTAATTACTGGGCCATTTGGAGGTCTTCTTCAGTTTCTCACACTGCAGCTGTTCTGCACTATATATACGAGTAGTGGGGAAGGGAGGGCAAAATACTGAATTGCAGCCCAACAGCCTGACACTCGTCACGGGACACCCCGGGGTGAGCTCTGTTCTGGTGCCCACAGCAGTGCCCTGGCTGAGGAAAACTCAGCAACCTGAAATCTCCACATCCCATCAGAAATGGAACTGAGAAACGCGGCACAAAACATGTTTCACTTGAAACMGTTTTCAAAGTTCAGCTTTCGACGGGATGAACTGGCCTTTCCCAGTGAAAAACGCTCATGGTATTTTCTCAGAAAGTTCTTAGCCAGCTGCAACTGCCAAGACATTTAAAGTGTGATTCTGCCCTTTGATAACTGCACGTGGGCACCTCAGCATATCAATTTCTGCATCTTCCTGCAGCCAGAGGTGCAAGCGGATTTTCTAAGCTACTTGCCAATGCATCTCGTGTACAAGGAGCAAGCCCCTTTCCTGAAGTATCACATGAACTTAACTCTCAGATCCCTCTCTGTCAGTGCTATTTTTCTATCGCACGCAACTCTGCCAGTATTTCCATAAAAAGATATTTCTGTGCAAGGCTTGCAAATACATTTGGTATTTGAATTACGGGCCAATGTTTATAGGCTTGTAATCTCAACATTCACTTCAAAAAGTCATTAAAATTGACACACAGAAGCCCTTTCTGGGGGTTGATCTGTACTGTTGTGATCGTTCCAACTTGTAATTGAACTTCAAAAGGCTATGGATATAGGACAAATTTGAAATTTAAGYCCCTTTAGCTCTCCCGCATTTTGGTTAAGCATAATAGCAGACTTCTATCTTAATTGCGGGCTTTTTATTTTCTTTTTGAAACAAGGGCATAATCATACATAGAGCAGCATAAGTAACCAGTAAGCAAAACTAAAGAAATCAATAAAAGATGTATATTTAAATATAATACATGATCACAAGTATTCCATCATTTTCATCCATAGAAAATGTGCTGTGTTTCAAATATAACATGCAGCATACACATAAAATTTATATTTTGTTTGTATGCAGACTTGGCACAATTTTTGCAGCCCCCGTCATMTTATGGGGCCCACATTTACTTCTCAGTGAGCTACTTGATTGAAGAACACATTYGGAAACGGCTCACATGGAGAACCTGGTAGTAACTCAACATAAATATTCATCTCATGAAGTCTAGTAAGGGAAGGCCTGCCTCTAAACTGCAGAGTGATGTGGAAACAGCAATTTGCAGAATGCTACCAGGGCAAGAATGTTACAAAGCACAGTTTGCAACTGCTGCAATGGGCAGAGTGAAGTGGTTGTGAGGATTTTCAAAATGGTTTTGCAAAAGTTTTGTGGTTTAGGAACCTTCTTTTCTTTCTCACATGTTGGAGAGCAGCCCTGCAGAGAGGGACCTGGGTGTCATGGTGGACGACAAGTTGACCATGAGGCAGCAGTGTGCCCTGGTGGCCAAGAAGGCCAAYGGGATCCTGGGGTGCATTAAGAAGAGCGTCTCCAGCAGGTCRAGGGARGTGATCATCCCCCTCTACTCAGCCCTGGTGAGGCCACATCTGSAGTACTGCGTCCAGTTCTGGGCTCCCCAGTACAAGAGGGATGTGGAGCTGCTGGAGAGAGTCCAGCRCAGGGMTAYSAGGATGATCAGGGGCCTGGAACATCTGCCCTATGAGSAAAGGCTGAGRGAGCTGGGCCTGTTCAGCCTGGAGAAGAGRAGGCTGAGGGGGGACCTGATCAGTGTCTATAAATACCTCAAGGGAGGCAGTGAGGAGGAGGGGGSCGGCCTCTTTTCAGTGGTGGCCAGCAATAGGATTAGAGGAAATGRCTACAAACTGAAGCACCAAAARTTCCTCACAAACTTATTGAAAAATTTCTTAACAGTGGGCGTGACAGAGCCCTGGCACAGGCTGCCCAGGGAGGCTGTGGAGTCTCCTTCTCTGGAGATCTTCCAAACCCGCCTGGATGTCGCCCTGTGCCCTGTGCTCTGGGTGTCCATGCTGGAGCAGGRGGTTGGACTAGATGATCTCTAGAGGTCCCTTCCAACCTTAACGATTCTATAATTCTTTTCCTCTCTATTTGCAGTGGCAGCCAAGGCTCGTCGACGTTCCTGGGATCAGTTGCCCTGCTGCTCAGCAGGAGCCCGTGCTTGGAGGTCGTGTGGCCACCCCACAAGCTGCCTGGCAGATGGCCCGCCCTGCGCCGCCCCTCGCCCCGGCGCTGGAACCAACCTGAGAGGCTGCCACTCCTTTCGGAGCTGTTGTGGGAGCTGGTGGTGCTGAAATCCTGCGACTGGTTGTGTGGCAATCTATTAGCCAAGCCCTCAGCCACGCGGTAGTCAGGGATGTAAAGCAAGGCTAAGGGTTAAAGGGGACAGGTCACAGTGGCGTCGTGGGATTAGTCGACAGCACAAGCACATGCAACACATGCAGTTAGCAAGTCAATGGCAGATGTGGCGGGGCTGCGATTTTCATTTATTTCAATCGCCTTTTCTGGTGTTCCTTCTTTCCTGTATGCCTGTCCTAGCCTAATGGAAGGCAGATGGCTTGGTGGCTATCACAGGACAACGAGGACCGAAAGCACACAGCAATGTATTTTGCAACAGAGTCCAGTTCAGCACGCATGCAAGGTATGGAAGTGTTAGTTATGGTAAAAATGAGCGGTGCCTCATGCACTAAAAACACTTCTCTAATGCATGCACACAGCAGAAAGAGGAGGGCTCTGGAATGGAAGAGCTGGAATTACCGTTGTTGCCTTTGCCTTGGTCTGGGAGCGAGTAACCGAATCCCATCAGGTCATTTTTTTGCTGAATTGAGCTTTTCCACTGGGGATCAGGTAAGTCGACTGCCAACTCATGGATGCTGTTGGAGTGCAGGATCTGGGTGGTGGCATATGGCGTAGCCTGCGTTATTTGGCTGGAACTGTTGTAACTAGTTTTGGTGGTGAAGTCAATGCTGCTGTATATGGCTCCATCGGAAAGCATCGTCGCTGTTTTATCTCCTTGCCCTGGCACCGGCGGCAGCACATCTGTGGTGAACACAGGGGAATGAAACAAACCACTGATGCACAGGAAGCCTGAAAATATCAAGGTTTAAGATGAAAAATAAATGTGTCATTGCGCGCGTTTGCATTTTCAGCTGAGATAGGTCCATGAGCCAACGAAGGGAAGATGATGTACAACCATCGCCAAGCTATCAGCAGCTGTGACAGGCCAACCACTTGTCCTTCACGTCTCACTGCCTAAAACCATCTTTTCTCTCCATACCTTCAACTGTGAAACCGAGGTTTCGAAAATTTCTCTACTGAAGAATGTTTTCAATTGTTCACTCTAAGTCAGAACCTGTCTGGGCTTCAGGGCAATGATTGAAGGAGAGAGTCTACAAATCACAGAGGAATCTTTCCGAGCAAACACCTAGAAAAACTTTTAAATGGATGCTGAAGTTCTCAGAGTAATTTTTTAAAGGCGCCACCTTCACTTTCTTGATGTTTGATGCATCAGTTTATCTAATTTCCCKTTAGACACTAGCTAGCACATTTCTCCTTGACAATAAAGGAAAAACCTGAGAAAATCAAGTTGCTCCTGGAATGTAAAAAAAAAAAAAAATCTGAAGAAAAATCCCTTATTCTGAAGGGATTTAAGTGATCAGTCTCTTAAAATGGCAAAGCAGTGTTCATAATGGAGAACAACTTCTTCAAATACTCAGTACACTTACCTGAAAAACAGTACAGCATATTTAACTAGGTATCTGTTGACATTTCTCAGCTTCTGAATCCTATCACACACTGCAATTTATAACTTTAATCCCCTTGATTGGCATGCGCTCTCCTTACTGAACGCGCTAGTGACATTTGCTGGCAGAAGAGTGGATTTGGAAGCTGAGACTACTGGGGTGTGACGCAGCTAATGATGACTGGCACAGTGTCCCCAGAAGAAGCTCAGCTGCCTGGACAACCCTTCTCATGCTTTCTCTGGCGTTAGTATGTCAAATGCTGCTAGTTTTACAAGTTATTTAGATCCTGAAAAGCAGAAGTCATTATGGAATCAAGTTGTTAGAAAAATGCATCATTTATATGTCATTTACTTTATACAGTACGATGGCAGACATGSACCGTAAGGTGATAATTCAGATAACAATAATAATTCAAATAATAATCATAATTATGGACTGTAGTCAGAATGCTTAGATTCCATCACAGATGCTTTTAAGGGTCATAGTCTCCCAAGAGAAAAGATGATTTTGTGCACTTGGGCTTAGTTCCAGGCTTGGACATGGGTTTCTGTAACCTCAAGCAATTCCATTGTTCTCACTGCTTTTCCAGCAATGGGATATGGTACCACAGTACAAGTGAATTAAACCACAGTTTCATCCTCTTCTTTTTCTTTTCAGACATTTGCGTGCATCTGTTCAACAGTGAACATTTTAATATGGACCCTAACGCCATTTGTAGTCTCAAGGCAGCTATACAATACTAAGAGTAAGTATGATAACAGCAAAGGCTCAGCAAAGAGACTGAAGAAACAGAGATTAAATTTGGGTATCTATCAGTATTTTCTATTTTTGCAGGCCACAACCAACAGGGCCATCCAGGAAGATGGGAACAATCAAGTATCTAAGGTGTCTTTATCTGCAAATTTAAGTACAACAAAATGTCACAATTAATGCAAACTACAGGTCATCTTTCAAAATCAGGTTATTACTGTCTATCTGCACATACGTAACGTGCTTTCCAGGGTCAGTAAGCAATCGCAAAAGCATTTATGTGCAAATGCAGCATGAGATGTGAGAGTCAAGCACAGTCATATCTTTGCATTCCATCCACAAGATTCTGCTTTTCTGCATATGGTTTGATCAAAGCATAATGGATTGGAATTCAGTAAATTAATTTTTGGTCTATGTATGAAATAAAGTAAATCTAGATCAACATATGTAGGAATTGCAGACAGACAGAAGAAAAAATCAGTAAATTATTCATCTCTCTAAAGTAGCCAGACATATATCTATCCTTTAGAGTACATCTCAGTTAAGTGAAGAGGTGTTCCCTCTGTACAGTCATCGTTTTTAACAAAGGACTAGCTACTTGCACAAAGTTGAAAGGAAAGTTACAGCACTTCTCATCAGCTAAGAATTCTCAGGCTGTCTTGTTAATAAACTGAAATTCTCTAGACATACTGGGAATTTTCACCAGAATCACAGGTAAGTATTTTTAACTCAATGAGATATACTAAGCATTCAAAGAGCTACTAAAGCCCCCTTTTACAAAGTGCCATAATCATCTAGTAAAAATAAGTGTGATTTTACCAACATAGCAAAAAAAAAAAAAACCCAAAAAACTCTGTATATTTTAGATCAGAAAAGAATACTTTTTTTCCCTCGCCTTGTTTTGTAGCTCCTGAGAAAATTTAAACAGTTCTGAAGGGATTTTCTGAGGGCCTCTTCCTTGCTGCTTCATGGAGTCACAGTACAACTTTGGGGTGTTATGCGGCCACAAATTTAAGTTGTGCTTCCCACCCCATAGTCTTGTTCTCAAGTGCCTACCCAGGACAYAATGTGAAAATTGCTTTTGAAAGGCAGTGTGAAAACTGCCTTCCTCAGTTTCTGCTCCAGAGTGATTGATGCTTTACTGATTATAAAATTCTTACAGACTTTTTACATCATTTCAGATCTTTTTTACAAATAGAAGTATCAAGTTCAACCCATACAGTTCTTTCATATTAGACACTGAGATAACAGAAGTATCTAAAATGCAATTGTTGAAATAGATAGTGGCAAGTGGTAAATTCCAAAACAGTCACAATACAAGTGTAAGCTTGACTGTGAAGATTATGGGGTGGAATTTAGCTGCTGAAATTCCAAATATAAATGTAGCATCTCTTGAATGAATACTGGACCTATGCCTCACCCACACAGAAGCCAAAAGCTTTAAAACATGTTCCCAGTTCAAACTGGAAGTCTTATATGGAAGTCTCACAGAGCCAAATGCTAAAATAAAAGGCTAATTTGTCTGTATTATGTGATCTTATGAAAAGATGGAAAATTACTAAAGAGTCATATTTTCAAGATATTTACAGCAAAGAAGCTGGCAGACATTCAACTGCCTTCTAAATACTATCAAAAGTTTTGTTTACTTTAAAATAACATTTTTGCACGACARGAGCTTTAAAACATTTTTATAGGGAAAATATATCTGAAGCATTTAAAAGCGATCTAAAGTCAGTAAAATGCCCCTGAAGTAGTCAGGGAAGAAGTTCTGCATGGAATGAGTAATCAAACAGCAGGATTTTGACACAGTTCAAAATTAAAATCGATATCTTTTTGCATTTAATCATTTGACGCTTTTACTATTTTTTTTTATTTTAATGTATTTTTCATATATAAAATTGTCCTGACTTTTGTTTCCTTACTTATGTCTTAAACATATTTACATACTTATTTATCTTAAGAAGTTTTCCTGTGAACGTCAATCTGGGGAATTACTTGTACTATAACATCACAGAAACCAAGAATGTAACAAAAAGTTTTGAATATTACTTTTATTTTTTAAAAACTCCCAATTATTCATTTTTAAAGTCCTATTGAGTAGAATATTTGAAAGTAACCCCTTTAAAGATTAATCACCACAGTTATAAATCATTATCTCCCCTTGCCAAAAGTCCTCTCTCAATTCAACTGTGAAAAAAATACATAAAAAATCTAAATCATTCCCTTTTCTGCTCTTTCCTCCAAAAAGAAGGAAAGCTTATAAAGATCTGTGAAACCTTTATGGATTATGGTTGAGACTGAGCGCAGTTCTTAGCAGAATCGACTGGGCTTTTTATATAAACAGAATAAAATTGTTAAATAGTTTTCATCATAGATGCTAAGTAACAGAAGCCTATTGTACACTATATGGTGTCCTAATAAAATAAAACCCACCTCCACGACCAAAATTTCCAAGCTCATTGGGTCCACTTGTGCTGCTGTTTACGGGCAGACTTGTGGCAGGCCAAGAGTCTGCAAGCCAAGGATAACTGGGGTCACTCGCATTCAACAGACCTGGTCGACTGAAGCAGAATAAAAAAAAAGATATACATACATAGATATATATACATATAAATACTTATTTATATATTAAACAGTAAAATATCTATGTGATAATATGGATATAACTGCAACTGAATAGAACACATCACTGTTCTCCCACTGCCATGTGAAACGAACAGTTTAGGAGAGTTCAATGTATTTCAAATTAAAATTGTGTAGGCTTTAATGATTTAAAGACCTTGAGCAGTTAATTAAGGGTATATACAAATCATCTTTGTCAATAGAGCTGGGACTAGGAATCAGTYGTGATTCTGCCGGCATCCAAATTCCCTCTGTTGTCTGTGTAGAACAGGAGCCAGGCAGCACCACCGTGGGATCCTACACCAGGGCTGCATGACAAATGGCCACCTCAAGGGAGCAATCACTCAAACTGATTGCTCTCTATCAGCCACTTCCAGGACTTTGGGCTACTATTTCTTCCTCCTCTTGCATCCCAAATGCACCTCTGTCATCCACAGGCTGGTAACTCTTCCTCTGAGCACTCTTGTATGGTTTAGAGGCAAACAGGTTTGAGTAGGATTAATGGAAAGTCCACAGCTATCTTTATTTGTGACTACCACATGCTTTCATATTCCGGTAGTGTCAGACTTGAAGAGCAGCCTTAAACAGCAAGTATGTTGGAAGAAAAAGTAAGCTCGGCACATAGAGTAGCGGGTGTCTTCCACCCCAGGACAAACAGTCTGAAATCTGGCTAGGCGTTGGCACTGCTCATCTTTGTGCTCGACACGGAGCACAAGTCATTCCGTGCAGAAAAACAAAGAGGCCAAAGCCCTGCGCCCAAGCTGTGGCGTTTGGAAGCGCCCATGCCACTGGAGCAACGTCTGTAACGACCATAACGACCGTTTGCGGTCTAGGCCGCGGGCGGGCCTCGCACAGCGCCCCGGGGAGGCATGGCGGTTTCCATGGAAACCGCAGGAAGCAGTCCCTGTAGCTTCTTGCCACATCCACTCGCTCTCATTAGGCCTAATCTCTTTTTGCTAAAATATTGATTAAATGGGAGATTGGAAGTTATTACCAGAGCCTAATTACAATCTCCATATTGGCAAAGGGAAAATAGATGAGGATATATGGGTCTGTTATCAGCTTTTATCAATTTCAATTGAGTGGCCAAAGTTGTGGAATTCAGTCCTATCAATCTCCAACCTATTCATCATCCATGAATCATTTATTTTGTGATCGATTATGTGTAATTGTTCACTCACAGCAATTTAGTGGGAGCCAATAAGGAGCCTTAAACAACAGCAACTTCATTTGCTAATGTCTAATTAATGCAATAAACATCTTAGTAACAAATGAACACATTCCTTTTGATATTTACTACTAATTTCTTCCAGGGCATCTGGGAGATATGAAGCATCTGGACTTGATTCCTCCAAAGTGCACAACAGATAGATCATTAAGCCTTGTGGTAGGCTATTTAATTCCTTCTACAATTGTCAATCTTAGAAATGATCATTTATTACCAAAGAGTATCACCTATAGAATTTTCCAGACTCCTAATTTTAGAAATACACATGGTAGAAACAGACCTTTTTACAACGAAACATACCTTCCATTGCTCATTAGTCCTCCATCTCCTCTTTGGAAAGTGACTGTATTTTGGTTGGAAAAAAATAAAACAAACGTACATACATACACACACACACACATATAAGACAGGGAAAAATCCATTAGTGATAATTATAAATAACAATTCAAATTGCTTCACGTCCAACATCGGAGGCCTCTTGGCACCATCACGTAATAAAGTACAGAAATTGTCAAAAAATGATCAAACTCACTTAGGATTACAATCTGTTTGGGATTTCACTGCACATTATTGATTAACATCAATTTGCTCCGTAACTTGCAAGGCAAACTGGCAGCACGGGTGAAGAGCCCTGCATTTCCCACAGGCCCCTTCATATGACTTTGTGGTGTAAGACTGTGCCCTGCGATGGGATCGTTTTCTTGCCGTGCTCCTGCTTCAGTCCATAATGGCATTGCTCCAGTGAGTTAAAAGCATCACGCCACAATGCCGTAGTAATGTCACCCCACAAAAACGCAGCCTCCCGGGACAAATGCAGAGAGGTGGCAGCTCAAGGATGATTAAAAAAAGCATAAAGCTACTTTGTTTTCAGTAAAGACCCAGTAGAAGAAAGAGCACGCACACATAAATACATCCACATCAGTGCCAGAGAGAAGGAAGTGTTTTGTGTCTTGTCACCCGTGATGTCAAGGATATGTTCAGAGGCATACAAATCTTTTTGTGGCTCCATTCAAGAGTATTTGACAAAAAAAAAAAAAAAAAAAAAAAAAAGAAAGAAAGAAAGAAAGAAAGGACCTGTCTCAATTATATTAACAGGATTACATCATTTCAGGGCACTATAGGTAAAACTGTATTACTAATGAGATGCTAATTGACAACATTCGATGCTTCTTTTTGAATCATGGGTAAATATTCTGTATAAAAGCAAAACAGCTACTCTGTTTCTCAGTGGCAATATTCCACTATTTAGTGTCAGGAGCAGATAAGGCAGAGAGGTAGATTATTTCAGTATCCTAGACACCTCCATCCTTAAAGATGTCTGAGAAGATACGGGCTTGAATTGCAGAGAAGAACAGAAGAGCCCAGGATCAGCTTCATTTAAAACAGGCTCCAGTTTAGAAATTCTTTTACCTTTCTGACATCACCTTTAATAAATTACATCCACTAGACTATTTGTAAGATTATCCTAACATTAGTCTAAGCTACACTAAATCAGGATTGGGCTTTGTGTAATACATGGTCATTCTAACCAGACAAAAGTACTACATCCAATGGAAACACTCTGATATTTTAAAAAATATCCAAAACATAAACCTGCTGGCAAAATACTTCTGATATTTCATAGCATACTTGTAACTTTATCAGTTTCTAGGGTAATTTGTATCATACACATAAAAAACACAGGACAAAACTGCCCCCTTTGGAAGCCATGCTGGAAGAGTGCTTGGGCTGGTTGATTAATCACCCGTCACCACAGAACAGGCCAGTATCGATAACAGAAAATCACTGTTGTCAGATACCACATCAAAATATTTAAAACTGAAATTGGAAAAGTTGTAATCAAGCCAATTAATGAAAAGAAAATCAAATGCAATATGGGAAGTAATTCATGCCTGCTTTAAAAAACAAGACATAATAAAAACATTGAAGCTAATTGTATCATTCCTTGCTTAAAACTGAGTAATCTGAGGTGGAGTGGATATCATGTGCTGAAATGCAAAGACGTGGGTACTGACTGACTGGCTATGTTTCTAAATATGCTGGCCAAAAGTACATTAGCACTTTAATATAGATACTGTTTTCTTTCTCTTCCCCCCTTCTCATTTTATACTCCATTTCTACAGCTTTCTGTATTTGTCAAAGCAACAGCTGATTCTTCCAGAAATAAGTAAAACCAAAACCGGATATGTATTTAGCAACAACTCTAAAAGTTTTACTATTCTAAGCGAAATCCTGTACAACATATTTTCTGAAAACTTCCTGGGATTAATGCTTTTGTTTAGGCTACAGACTACCAGAAATAATTTTAAAATAATATTGTCATCACTCGCATAGCATGTACCAGTGTGTGAGATTTTAACTATGTGAAACGGAAAACAAAATGAATATTTATGGCCTCCAAAGCATTTATATCCTGAGTGTACCTTTACAAAGCAAAACTAAAATAGAGGAGCTGCTGTGAGGCTGCAAACATAACACTTGCCAGACAAGTCTCATTTTCTGTGCAGTGATGTATGGAAAAAACTTTAGGACATGCTGTGAGATACATATCAAGAAGACATGGTTTCAAAAACTCATCTATGGAGCCATAATCGTTGCAGATGGGCTGTGGCATAACAAGAGATATCATTTTGTTGTGAAGAGACAGGTATCACAGCATCTACTGTCTTTATCTGTGTATACTGATGGTGGTAAACCATTTCCTGCTTCTTTCTATAAATATTTTTTTGTCCCCATATAAATCATGTTTTTTAGGAAAAAAAAAAGGTTCAACTTAGCACTGAATTCACAAAAAGACTTATCAAAAAGAAACTAGCTTGGCTGCTACATTTCTTTTTTCTGGACAAGACTGTACCTGGTTTACATAATAAGTATAACATTGAGAAAGAATATAGATTTTTCCTTCTTCTCTGATCCTGAGCAATAGTGCAAGGATGGTTATAATCTCCATAAGAAAAGAAACAAGGAAATATTGTAGGTATTGTTCTTGTTGAAAAAGGCTCTGGTCTATCAACTAAGCCAACCAAAATCCCTTTTGAAGAGGGAAGATGTCATTGGGCCATCACAGAAAAACATTATCATATTCCCAAAACCTGCTGTGAACAGACTACCTGAAGGCGGATAGAGAAGGTACCTTTCTTTTAGCATCAATATTGTGAAAGGAAAGTTAGTTAACGACAGAAGATATGGTCAGGCTGCCAACACAAGCACTGTGTTTATCATTCCTGCCGTCCGTTTCGTCAGCATTTTTGCCTGCAGTTTGATTTCTGCAATTAGGAAGCAAGCCTAATGGGCTGACTAGCAGAGTACTTAATGCAATGCAGACATGTAGATGTCACTGTAAAAATAAAACACGCAGACAGCTGGCTTTATTCAGCCTGTCTCTGCTTCAAAAAGAGTCAGAGCAATTTCAAGGGGCGATATAAGAGGAGGAAGGGAAGGATGTCCATCTCCCTGACCCATCCATTTCTCTGTTTTTTTATCACTGAGGAAGCAAAAAAGCTCTTTCAGCATTCTTTGCATCTGATATATGTTCTCAGAAAGGCTGAAGACCAGCAGGGACGAGATTGGTTTTCAAAAGATGAAAAAAAAAAAACTCTGTATAAAGACATTTTTAAGGAATCCCCACCAGTGTGTATACTTCAAGGACCGTGAAAATGCAGACTATAAGGCARAGTGCATTTGAAATGAATAAATATTTAAGGAAATTATATTTTATATATTTGTATGAAAAACAGCACATGCTAAAGGTCTTTTTACATGCCTTTCTTTTTTAAAATATATAAGGATGTACCCATACTATTTACTAATATTATCTGACAAGGTTAAACTTAATCTTCATGCCTGCTATAACTGGAAAAATACAAATGTATAGTAAGTTGACATTCAGAGGCAAGAAAGCTTTAGAAAGCTTTCTGTATGCCTATCTCTAGTAGGCCACATTTTCCTAGCACAAATGAAAACTTTAATGTTGCCAGCCAAGTCTCATTCGTTTTTCTGATAAGCCATTCCTCAAATATGAATGTAGATTAATCCTCTTTTAATAAGAATTAACTCAGAAGAGATAATCAGCATATAAAAATTCCATCAAACTTCTGCCTGCCTTTGGAATCTGTCAAATAATTTATCCTCATTTAACAGTTTTAGGAGTTGYGCATAAAATGTGTTGCATTCCATAATTCTCTATCTATTTTTAATTTGTTTTTATTTACTCAGTTTCATGAAATCTTTAATCCCAAGGAGCACTAGTCTCTCAATAAGCTTACCTACTCATAAATGAAAATACATATTTACTTTCCTTGCATGACTGATGGCCTAGACACTCTCCAAAACACCTGGGTATTCAAGTGAGTGGTTACTGGCAGACCATGAGCTTGAGGGCACAGGAAAGACAAGCAGATAAATGAAATTCTTCAAATCTACAAATGGATTCTGTGCATATGCTTTTCATTCTGGAAGACGAAAAGAGAATTACAACTTCCAGTACTAAATAATCAAGTTTTGTTCTGCCATCGCAGTGGATGGGAAGGAAACTCCTGCCTCACCCTGCATACCTGGGCAATCTGAGTCGTGCCTGACCGCTGCAGTGATGCTGGCTGCAAGAGCGCTGTGGAACGAGGAGTGAGGCACCCTCAGAACGGCCCAYGTGAGCAGGCCCACGCCATGCCGGGCAGGGCTGCACCCCAGCCTGGCCTTCGGGCCCACGTTGTGCTGCAGCGACCACCCGGCCGCAGTATAAACTTAGCAGCTAATTTTAATGAAGGAGTCTGTAAGTAGCTCCCACTTGGCACTACGCCACCTGCAAGTCCTTGTCTTTCTCTGAACGTGCAGCAGCAACTTCTCCTCATTTGACAGTGGAGATGGTGAATAGTTTTGTATTAAGGAAATCATGTAAGAAGCGAAAAGGTAAAAATGGAGTAACCATTTCCAGGGACAAGATCCATCAGGCAGGCTGTGCCCTCACTGGAGACCTGTTCAGTGCTGCACATTTTGAGGTTCCCAGCATTTGAAGAAGTGTCCACTTTGGCGCACCACACTAATCTGCTTCATTCTTACAGTGTTACCTGTCAAATACAGCATATAAAGTAATATTTTTCAGAACCTGAGTGCTTTTCTTCCTGGGATYGTAACCAATGACATAAAGATCATCCTCTGTATCACAGAACTGATCACTCAAAGGAGAACAACACATGGGTTTATTTTTGCTGAAAATATGTCCTGTTCCCTAAAATGTACAATCTTGTACACTTGTAGAACAGGGCACTACTAGTTACTAGGTAAGCGAGACACTCATCTAACTAAAAGAATTGAAAGCCATACTTGCTGCAGTACTATAACTACCCAGATTCAACACCTAATGATGAGTCATGATAGGGGAAGGAAAAATGGAGGAATAGCAATGTATGCACTAATAGCTTAGTAGATTAGGCCCTGCTAGAGCTGGTTCAACCACGAATACGTAAAAGATATAGCTATAATTTTCAATGTCATGTTTTCTTTGTGAACATCTGAACAATCACTTAGTGCTTATGAAAATGTTCACAAATACGGGAAGCTTGATAAATTTTAACTCAACCAATTACTTTTCCCTGGCGCAAATCTTTTTACCAACAGCACATTGTTTGCTGTTTGTTCTTCTTCTGCATAGAAAGTTATCGTGGTTTAGTCATAAAGCAGAAATTATGCCACTTAGTTGTCTTATCATAGAATATAAATAACAAATAGTCGCAGCCACTTAGCTGTCTAACCATAGGATACATAACAAATAGCCCCAGTAAAGCCTTAATGAATGACCCATAATCTGAAATTGATTACAAAGAATGTTTTTAAGCAACTGAAGAATAAYGGCGGAATCTATACCTTTAAACAGGTATTTTTAGAGTTTTAATTTCTACATGTATGCAAACAGAACTGAAAAAATCCCACATCTTTCTCATAAATAACTGAAAAAAATGTTATTTAGGTTTTTATTCAGCCAGATCTGTTTCTAAAACAGAGTATGTAAATGTTCCACAAATACATTCAATCAAGTTAGTAATACAGTCAAATCTGCATGTGCTGTTTTTCTGAAGGAAGAATTTAAAGCACATGTTGGAACAAAAAGTGTGCACCTTCTAAAACGTCTGACTATTGGGAAAAATTCGTCTCCGTTATAACTGTACTGACAGCTATCTCTGATGAGATTCTGGAAGCTACATACCACTGTCTAAATATTTAGATCTGAAACTAATTTACTGTCTGTGAATCATAACAATGCAGGGAAAAACACACAGTTTTGAATATCATCAAATCTCCACAAGCATGGATGTGTTTATCTAAATGAGATCACCAATCACAAATTCAAATACGAGAGAACTAAAGACCTATCTTAGAGAACTTTGGGAATGAAAATAAAAATACAGACTACATTCTTTCCTAATTTTTTCACAAGTCATGACTTTTTGAGACACTCTAATCTGGCAGACTTAACTACTGGACGACTTAGATTCTCAGCCACCTCCAGAAATGATCACTGACCAGGGAAYGGAGTGTCATATTGTTAAAGTTCCAGAAAATCCTTGAAATGTTGAAGCTGTTGTACAAAATGTGAATTTTTGGCGGTGCCTCTGACATATCCTAGTTGCCCAGCATGCGTGKAACAACCGCACTGAATCATGCACATTCACTGTGGCTCCAACTTAACCCTGTGTTGTGCCAATGTCAGCCACAAAAACATAGGAAAAARCCATTCTACAGCAACAGGTGGCTGACAGTGGCACAATCATAGGAACCAAATGCAAAGACTTATTATTCTATCTTGGAATATTTCTATGGTGTGTCCCAAAGTGCAGGAAGTGAAGCTTTCAGACCGGGATGTGTCGTGCCACAGCTACGTCTGACTTGAACAAACATRCCAAGAACCCAGAATGAGCAATTCATAAGCCCCCCAAATTCCTCCACGAGGACAGATCTCCTTAGCAATTTCACAGGCCGCTCGGGCACCTTCACCCATCATCCTCAACAGTCAGCTGCTCTTTTCTGCCAAGCTAAAATGCACAAGCTGTGGCTGAAAATAAGACAGCTGGAAAGCAGCTAGTTGAGCATGAGAACTGGTTCCACTAAGCAACAGGAGGACTGGCTTCCACCAGATGGATGTCAGAGCGGACAGAAGAGACAGCCTTGGCAAGTTTTGAGTTTGAATTGAGAGGACACCAAATACTACACCCCAAATACTACATATTTCCCCTGAAAAAAGCCAATTTTCTCACTTGGTTACAGAGTAACAGTGAGGTATACTTATTTTTTAAGCTTCTGACTCTCAAGCTTAGGTATGAGAACTATGAAGCTAATTATTTGTACTAATTATTACTACTAATTGTATACACTATTTCTCTTGGCTACCCATATGTTTACGAAGCTGTTTGCAACCTGCTGCTCAAGCCATACTTGTTTATTCTTCACATATCTTTAATCATGCTTACGATAATGGTGTGCCGTATGCTATGTTTATTAAAGAAATGACAACTAGAAAATCAGCTTTGAAATGGAGAGACAGAATAAAAGCAAGTAGTTCATATTAAAAATACTGTAAAGGGAATGTGTGCAGAGCTTCATCGCTGGATTGAGTGCAGAGCTGGATATCTGAAAGTAAGGGAGATATACACACAACTAACAGCTTAAGCAGGGTTAAGTTCCACTTGTCTCGTTAGCAGATCTTCAGAAATAATTATGATACTTTCTTGGAGCCTTAAGATCAAAATTTGACCATATGTGGCTGATGCTTGTTCATGTTATGTTAGTTCAAGCATTTTGTCCTGCAAATTACTTTCAAAACTGCACTGTTTTGAAGAGTTAGATGAGTTAAGAAGTATGCAGAATTATCATGACAGAGGAGTTAAGGGTGGCAGGAGGAGAATCCATGCTACATTACTATCACAGACAGGTAGGAGTGGTATCGCTCCTTGCATTTGGTTTTAATTCTGCATACCTCCCACATATATATACACTTAGATAGCTCATGTTTGCACTGATGCACTGGTGACGTAACAGACAGACTAATGGACAGTACCTGCAGGGGTGAAGGTGAAGGACTGAACTGCAAAACAAAAAGCACATTGTGAGTTACAGACCCTGGTAAAAAGCGCTAATTGCAGGGCATGAGTTTCCTCCGAATTCTCTCAGTCAGGGGTTAATATCATATGCAGGACACAAYATTTGAGCTTTAAGTACTAACCAGCCAGCAGCCCATGAGAAATGACAGGTGGGAAGGTGAGCAGTGAATTATGACAGTCACAGCTGAGGACATGCTCTTCTCCAAAATGTAAACATAAGGATGAATTCCGAAATACAATCTCCTACGAGCTTTCTTTGCAGAAAGCCTTCAGGATTTTGCAATTCTGATAATGGAAAATCTGTCATGATGCAACGTTCACACTACAAGTAGATGATGCAGCAAACACCATGAGAAGTAACGAGTTGCAGGAGACACACTGTTTACAATGACTATTACAACCATTTACAATAACTATTMGTATCATTTACAGCTACGCATTTTAATGTGTTAAAGACTTTGCTCCCAAAGTTAAAAAAAAAAAACCCTAAAAAAAAAAGAAATGGGGGAGGGAGGGAGCATAATCTTAGTTTGTATCCAATGCATATGACAGTGTTTGAAGAGGAATACTAGCCTAACTCTTAATATAAAGAATCTGGGGATCATATAAGCACATGTGGAGGCACATGTGGAGGTACATATGATATATATTAGCTTCTGGATTAATACCACCTCCTAGAGTAAAAGTTGTCACTGCTGTTAAAGGAATTAAAAAAAAACCACTTTGTCAAAAAGCAGAACCTATGAATGATATAAGCTACATGGTCACTCAAGATGATGCTCCACAGTAAACTGAGGCAATCTAAGAGCCTATTGCCATTGGAAAATTTATTTTCTCCATTCTTTCACCACGCTTTCACCTTCACTAATCAGAAAACTAACAGAGCAGAGGAAAGACTAGGATTAAAMAACAACAACAACAAAAGCCTCCGAAACTGAATTGCTTTCTTTAGGGCAGTGAACCCAGTGAGGACACTGAGAGGTCCGATGGGGCTAAAGCCAGGGTTAGGAAGAGTCAGGTCTATGTGGATTAGAATAGGGCAGGACTATTGGGTTTTGGCAATAGAAAGATTAATGACAGATCCCCAGCAACACGGGGAAACTGTGTCTTCCCATTCATGCAATGACTTGCAAAGCAGCAGAATACTGGTATGACATAGACTGATACAGTGCCAAAAGCAAACATACTGAAAACTCAAATGTGCAAGTCTTGCTCAAACAGAAAATGCTTTCTCTTATTAAATGTATTGTATAATAAGAACTACATGAGAAACTGTCCCAGTGTTTGAAGAAGAGATTTTTCATATTTAAATTAGGTTTTAGAGCATCCCATTTTTTTGGTAATGCTATATTCATCTGACTGCTTAAATATCTGTAAGAATCCTGAAGCACTGAATAATCATAGAACAAAAAGTTTTGGAGAGTGAGGAAGAAAAATTTTCATATGGTGGATGTACTTGCTTTTCCAACTGTGGTTTTCTAAATGTAATTTGGAGCAACAGGCTTTGTGCAAAAGGGCATCGCACTGTAAGGCAGCTCCAAGCAGCTGCACCTCCAACACAAAGCTTCCTATGGCTCTGTCACTGGAAAACTTGACCAGTCCTTTTTGGCTAAWACATCATTTTCTCCTCCTGCAGTTTCATGTATGGAGTTGGTGGTGAAGCATCTCAGTTTGTTTCCCATGCATGTGGTTCAAAAAATAGGGAAATGCACAGGCATGAAAAAGGAGAAGATTAAATACTCTTTTTAACTTTTCATGTAAGGCTTTAGGCTAACCCCTATGCTCAAGCAGGACCACGAACAGAGTGCCTTCCACACAAAGAATCAGAGGAACAGTCAACCCTCTTCGTACGTTTTTTAATGCTAAATGTGTTGCAGATGTGAAAATAAAGACTGTCTTATGGCAATGATGAAATGCGGTTCCGAGCAATGCATTTAAAGCTTCTCATACACCGGGCTTTTCACAGCATACACTTATAACAAGCATACGCAATTCACCCCGTCCACCTCTGTTTTAAGGTCATGGTGGCTTTCGGACAGGTGCAGCAGCAGCACCTGTGCTCTTCGTGACAGAACCTGACGAGATGGKAACAAACAGTCACTGCTCTTACCAGCGTAATTGCTAAGGCCCTTCCTCTTCTTCCTGCGCCAGTAGAGCCAGATGCTGAAGCCCATCAGAATGACCCAGCAGGCACCACCGATGCCAGCTATGAAGGCGGGCTGTTTGACAACATCCGTGATCTGCTCCGTTATGCTGTTGTTGTTCTCGGTGATGACAACTTCATTACGACTTCCTGTCCAAAAGAAAGCCAGGAGAACATCCTTATTAGGAGCGCTGTAACACAACGAGGAACCAGGTACTGCAAATGAAAATTAAGAAGCAGTTACGGCTTCTAAAGGAGCAGCCACTCTTGGGCAGCTTCACATGGTACTGATGCACACCGGAAAAGCCGCATTTCTAGCAAAGGAACCCATAAATCACTGCAGTTTTGGAAACATGTATTTGAAAAGACAGCTCTATAGCATTGTCCCCACTAACCTAGTAGATCACAATCCAAAATCTTTTAATATTATACATATGTATCTTTTTACATAATTACTGGCAGCACAGAATGAACTTCATACTTCATGAATTTCACAAGCATCATACAATGGATTTGAGGCATAGAACTTCAAGAAATGTATCAAGTAACTAATAATTTTTTCCCAAAATGAGCAATTCYTTCATTGCTGGAATGTCAAATGTTCTCATTTACACATTATCTGTGTAAATGCACAGATGCTCTGGCTGCATGCCAGAGCTTCCAAACTTAAAATTAAAAAAAATATATATTTAATTTGGCAAAAGATGCATTAAAAAAATATTTCATGGAGAAAATAATCAGTATGGATCCTCAGTACACTAATTGATAAAAAAAAGAGAAAATAACTTAGATATAATTAAATTTCTAAGAAAACACAGTAAMAAATTATGCTATTTTTCACCCAAAATGGGTGTGAAAAATTCTTAACATAACCTAGAAGAAATAATTATGATACATGGAATACCAATTTAAGTGGCATGCAACAAAACTAACAGTATACCATACTATCTCAATTGTGGCGAGCAGTGCAGAAAACATTGAATTTCAGCAGATGTTCCCACTGTTTTTTGTTTGCTTGTTTTCCTCCTTCTTTCTCCAAAAGGAATTTTTCTAAAAAAATAATCTTAGTGTCTGGCTTGAAAACAAATGCCCATAAAAACTGTGGACAGAAATTCAGGAAATATAAAGCATACAGAACCAGAACAGAAAAGTTTCTAGTTCAAACCTCCCCTGTAAACACCCTAGTTGATTTTAAAGGTAGGAAATATGGAAYATTTCTATATGTATATGTTCTACATGTGCAGTGTGATTCTATRTACATTTCATATCGTAAACTATCTATGTGTGTATCTAGTGAGGGAACTAGCCATCATTTAGGGTAAAAAGGATTTATTCAGCCRAATCTTCAAAGTGCAGATGCCATATTATCGGATGCCTGTATAAATGTAGAAGACAGATTTTAAGCCCCAGGAGTCGCGAGTCTACTGAGGAGAAAAAACACGCAAATACCATGATTCTCAGTTAGGAGAGCGCATCACACATGGAGGTAACAGAATATGTAAGTGGGGATAAAGCACTGAAAAGGTCATTTGGAGGAAATTGTTTAAAATATTGTAGAATAACACCCTGCCGTGAAAATGCATGTATTCCTCTTGTATAATTCAGCAATGGTTAAATTTACTAGTCACTTATTGAAGCAAAACTGCCGCTGTGTCAGCATGCTGGGCTCTGCTCTAAAGCAAACAAACAAGGTCATTTGCTAAAGCAGATACAGGAGAGAGAAGCCGGATGCTATCCATGCTATCCATTCTATTTCCAGGAAGGGCTCTTCACAGCAGACCAAGAATCTAAATCAAGTTGTGGGTAAGAATTAAGCCCAGAAGTTTCGCTGAGGGCACCTTTGCTGATGCACACTGGGGATCGTGTCTGTCACGGCAGCGCCCCGGTGAAGGGGCAGCTATCCACACGTCCTCCATGGAGCTCGGAGCTGGATCAAGCAACTCCGGAAGAAACACAGTGCATTACACTGCTGTAACACTGTTAATCATCTCTGTGATTTTATTAAGCTTTCCCTCTTTCATCAGCCCGTCAATATTTAGTCATGATGACCGTCTGCTTTTGCAGACAAGCTGCTGAAGCCGCGCGAGAGCTTGGCTTGGGTTCAGCAGCTCCGCTCCAGGAGCAGGGCAGCCCTCCGGCACGCCGAGCCCTTCCCACAGAGCCGCCCTCGCTGCCCRCGTACTGTGAGGCAGCCTGAAGACTTGGGTCTACACTGGGTCACGCTGCTTAGCTTTACCAGCATCAGGGCCAGGTGGGTCTCAGCATCACAGGAYGGCTGAGGTTGGAAGGCACCTCTAGTCCAACCAGCAGGGACACCTGGAGCACRGGGCACAGGGAAGCAGTTGCTGCAGTCCTCTCCAACCAAAGCACTCCCATTTCCTCCCGCCAGCTACGAAAAGCCCAACAGCTTCCACCCTGATGTAGGAAGAGACATTAAAATCCAGGGAGCAAGGGAAAGAGGGGAGGCAGAGGCGGCTCCTTTGCAGGATTTGCCCTTTCCTCATCGCCCGTAGAAACACTCTATAGGTGCAGCCCCGTGCAAAAGGAGGAGGTGCTGAGGGTACAGCTAATGGAAAGAAGCACTCTGTGGCAAGCTCTTCTAAGCACACCATCGATTTTCTAATAGAAATCAGCATGGGAGTTGATGTAGCTCTAATTGGCATTAACTGTCAGTTAATTTCGGCGCCCTTTGGAGGCCGGGCACCCGCGGCAGGAAGGCTGAGCAAACAGGCAGGGTCCACCCTGCGACGTGGCAGCGCGGGCCTGGGGCCGAGGCGGGAGGGAGGGAGGAAGGGCTTGGGAGACACCGGCTTCAGCAGCGGATCCGCCCGCACTCAAGGGAAGAGCGAGGGCCTCCTGCTGAAGACTGCAACATGTCGYGGTGCTGAAGATCCCGGGTTTATTCTGAGGTCAAAAACTGGTCGTCTGTGAATGGCGGGTTTGGGAACAAAGGGCAGAGAGCCCGGAGAGAGGTTTCAGTGGACTTTGTAATCTCCCAAGGGCTCTTCTGGGGGAAGGTACAATCTGTCTCCAAATTGCCTTCTAAAGTTAGCAGCCTGGTGTTTGCTCTACCCTCCCAGCGCCTAGTAATTACCCGTGCAAAAGTAATAATTCATTTAAATGTCACAATAACATATGCTTGGTGATTTCAGGGGCCGAGCGACAACTGAATACGWGAAGAATGTTACCCACTGAAGTTGAGTAAAATTAATACAATCATAGGATTTTGGGCAAGTAAATGACATGAATTTTGTATTTCTTTAGGTAATATTTGATCAGAAGTGGTGTGTATGTCACCCAAGGTACCAGGGTACTATTTCATACAGTGCAGGTGTTTCTGTAACAATGCTGTCAGTTCAACTAATTAGAACACAGACAAGGGATGTGTGTGACCTGTAACGCTCCATTGTTCCTGAAGACAAAAACATAATGAAATATAATGTCTTCCTCCCATTGGAGAGTAACGAAGAACAAAACTCATTTGTCGGACCAAAAATTAATTAGACACATCAGATTCAATCGTACCTATTACTGTGAAAGTTTGCAGCTGTTCCTCATATTATTATGGCAATGATGGAATGTAAGCAGGAACAGGCCAATTGATCAAGAGAAGTAACAGAAACAACATTGCTATCTCCAATTTTGTTTCCTGCCTTCCGTATCAACAGTGATCAGAACAATTTTAGTCTTGATTCTCCTTGATCCTTCTACATATGTTTTTAACATCTTGCTTAAAGTACTCTGCTGAGTCACACAATTCCCAACTAAAGAAACAATATACTTGCTATCACTCAACAGTCTCCTGCCTTTTGCTTTCTGGACTTGCATCAGCTTGCTATCTAGAGCTGATCCGGGAACTCAGTAGATGATGAACATTAGCTGTCTTCAGAGGAACTTCTTAACGTCTCACAGAATCACAGAATCCCAGGATGGTYGAGGTTGGAAGGGACCCCTAGAGATCATCCAGTCCAACCCCCTGCTCCAGCAGGGACACCCAGAGCACGGGGCACAGGGCGGCATCCAGGCGGGTTTGGAAGATCTGCCCTCCCTGGGCAGCCTGTTCCAGGGCTCTGTCACCCTCACAGGGAAGAAGTTCCTCCTCACCTGGAGATGGAACTGCCTGGGTTTCAACTTAGACCCATTGCCCCTTGTCCTGTCACTGGCCACCRCTGAGAGTCTCCTATACCATAAGAAGAAAGGATGTGGTTTTTCTTCCACCCTGGACTCTACGTTTTGTGACAATGGAAGCCACACTGTCTAGCAAGAAGTCTCAGTTGTTCTTCATCGCCGCCCTGCTCTTTCCACACTTAAGCCTTGCTGCAGTTGCTCATTCTCYTTGCAAGCTGTTAAATTGTACAGCGAGGCACCAAGCCAGGTGGGACTCCATTACAGTACAACCACTTGACGATGTTTTTCCCATTCGTGATTATGTGTCGAGGTTTATTCATTACCTGATTTTTAAGCCACATCGTTATATTTTAACTGCATAAGAATTCTGTTTTCTTGTATTGTATTTTTGATTCTTAGTCAAATGTCAAGTGGTACCAACTCACATTTTCAGCARTTGTATCACCTGAACTGTGTCGCCTTTACCAACCAGAGGAACTAGCCAGCACTTATGGCTCAGAAGCAACAGAAAGCTGGAATCTACAGAATAGGCAGACATAGACCGTACAAGCAGTAATCACATCCAGCTCTGTGCTCCCAAAAGGGAAAAACGAAAAGAGAACAGAAACTYGAGCCAAACAGAAGAGACTCTATTAATTACTTTCATGTAAAGGACTGTAAATGTGCAGAGATGCTATCAGGCAGACTTGTTAAGGCAGACGTTCTGCAATCATTAAAGGAACAAATAAATATCACCTTGAGTTTAACAGGGCAAAATTAAGTTTCTAAATGCCAAATACCTGCTTTTTTAATTTTTTTTTTAATTTATTTGTTATATTTGCACCTTAGTGCCCCTTTCCTCCTTCATGTAACAACACAGATCTCTACAGATTTAATTCCTGATTATGTCATCCAGTTTTTGTAAGCAAACAGACAGGATGGAGGGCTATATCCAGATAAGGGGCTGAGCATTCTGGCAATCATCCAGCAAAGCACTTTAGTGCAAGTTTAACTCACAACAAGTTAAGTGACACGAGACTACTCACATGCTTAAAACGGAACGCGCTTAAGTGCTTTGCTGGAACAAGACCAGTGTGTTTAGCATCTAGCTGGATGGGCTCCTTTCAGCAGTACTCTGGCAAGCTGAGTAACTCTGATCAAAGTGAATGCAAAGACAGACTAATATCACATCATAAGTTATTTACACAAAGGCCCAAAACGCAGGTCTTTAGAGGACAGGTTCCCTTCCTTTTCCAAAATCAATTTATTGCTTTCAGTTCTAGAACACTTCTTTTCCTCTCTCTTTTTTTTTGGAGTTTCTGCGATTCCCTCTTTCTAAAATCAAAGCTGTCTTTATCTCTGCCCTTGTATTTCCCTCTTCAGGAACAATATATCCAAAATTGGTGTACCCCTAGTTCTGCTACAAGGGASGAATACATTGGAATATCTAAATATCATGATACATGGAGATCCTGAACATCATTAAACACTTAAGCAATGTCTAGGGTCAAGCCTTTCGTAAAAGCCTACCCATAGTAGAATAGTTTATTTCTGAGACATTTTGTTGATAATGATTTCTAGAAAAGAAAATATTTAATAGCAACAAAATATCCATATGACAGCAGTAAAAAAATATAATGAAGCCATAATTAAATTTGATCATAGAGACAGATGTAACCGAATTCCAGTCTTAGGCACTCTGAAGAGGTGCTGCTATGCCCAGCTCCTGTCAGTTTTACTAAATAGGGTTACTTTTCTCTTGGTCCCACCCTTCCAATATTGTTTCTGCATTCGTAATTTATACTCAAAAAGAATTTCAGTAGGAATTGAATCTATGCTTCCCTCAGGTCAGGAAATTAATCCAGTATGGAAACCACTAATAAGAAACAGTCCTTTCAAAGCAAGAGATAGTAATACCACCTTTGCTCTCTATTTGGAATAGAGGCCACTTATTCTTTGACAGAGGAAGCTCATCTGCTTGGCATAGCAGAGAAATACTGACTTCAAATGTTCATAAAATCAGCTGTAAATAGAGCCTTAGGCACCAATGGTGTAAGCAAAGCATTCCTACAGGTTTTTTAACAGGCGGAAAAGGGAGCTCTAGTTGCTAGTTCCATACATCTGCCAAATTGCAGAAATGGCAAATTCATTAGAAAGAATTAAATTAGTTTCACTGATAAGCTGCATTTCTAATATGTCTCAGCAAGAAAAGGAACTATTTCACTGCGTCCTGTGCGGGTTCTGCACACACAGATGACCCAACATCAGCAGGACATCAAAAGCTACCGCCTCAATTCAACTTGGACCTTGTCTTTTGCTCCACAGGCTTTCATGCTTCTGCCTGTGGTTTCACAGAGCATTTCTGAGTGACTAAGCAAGCCAAACGAAGGAACAGGACAATCACTTACCAATGATGATGGGTTGCGGTTCGCTCTTGACTCCCACGCCTGCACTGGTGCTTGCGGCCACCTCCACGCGGTACTGAATGCCTGGGTACAGGCCGCCTATAACCACCGAGCGAATGGCGGCGTCCACCGTTTTGTTGACGTGAAACCGAGTCTCATTCCCTAGGCACCAGATCTGGGACAAAAGTTGATGTGTTAGAAAAGATGAAATTCTTCATACTCATAAACAACAGTGCATAGAYGTGACGTACCAAGGTACTGCAGGACACTCACTTATTTTGGACTTGCCTAAGTACCGACCCGCTTTTTACTATCGCTGCTATCATTGTTGATGTTGTTCAGAAATTTAGATTTCAGTTCCTGACTCATTCTGTGTCTAATTCAACAAACACAAAGTACTCTTTTGTCTGAATCAGTATTTTGTGATGAGAATGGTGCATCATTTCAGAGGGCTCTCCTGCATTTCTTGAGACRTTTCAGGACTAAGATGTTTTAAGGATTCGTCTTCAGTTAATGCTACCTGAACATGGCKCTTTTGTATTATTAAAGAAGGCATTTAGAACCACTCTATGCATGGAAATCAATACATAGAGGTATCATATGTGCACTTCGTAAGTCTAATGGCAGAAGGAAGTCTTGGAGGAACTACAATCAGCAACCAATTGATGTGTCTTTCCAACAATAATGTTCTCATTATCCTTGTTTTTGATCATGCTCAGAGTTTTATCACATCCGATCTCTTCTCTATGAGTCATGAAGGGAAATTGGGAGCACAAAAGAAACTTTGACTCACCTAACCACAAGTAGATCTTACTTGCAGGCCTGTGTATATACTTAGGCTCCATATTTCCACCTATGTCAAATTATAAGGTGCCAAAACCACACAGAAGATCTGTCTTTAGTATGTTGTAATGACTTAAGTACTATTATTGTAGGTAAGAGAAGATATGCCTTCATATATTCATATGGCTTCTAGGCATATGAATTTCAAAATACAGCAATATTATAGGACTTGACTAGAGAAATATATGTGGGTAATGGAATTATTTTTATTCTTCATTTTCAAAATCAGATGATTTTGAAATTGATGATTTTGAAATGACTTAGTGTTCACCTTCTTTTAAAAATCAAATAGCATATTTAAGTATGAAAACTCTTCTTTGAAAACCTTGGTTTCTACTAAGCACGTACAAAATATTTACACTAGTAAGGTCATTATGTAATGTTTGAACTACATGATTTCCCGACTTTAACTATACAGTTATGAAATCAGAATACGCAGAAAACTGAGATTATGATGGAATTGATGTTTAATATTGACTTACACTGAAATTGGTATGAAGAGGAATCAAGACAAAAGATAATTACTAAATTATGTGAAAATGAGGTTAATAAAATATTGGGATTAATAAATCTTGATATTGACTAAAAGTGGAGCAAAAGAAGCGCTATGCTACACATAAATATTGTGAGCACTTACTACAGCCATCTGAACTAATGATAACCTACAAGAAGTTACAGCATAAGTTCATTTAAAAGCCAAGCACTTTCTCCTTTCCTGATGTTATGTTCCCACATGATATGGAAGAATAAATTACATCTTTCTGTGTGAAATAATCAACTGTAACCCAAAAAGCTAACACTGCCATTTTTACCCTTTGCAGAATTGTCAAGGAAACTTTTCTATTTGAACTAATGATTTCATGCTGGATATACAAATTGACCATAGTCAGTGTATTAACCAACAGTGTGTTCCATAGCTACAACCCTGTGACAATGCTGACACCTAGACTGCCCTTCCTCTTCCTACTCCCGACCGCCCAGAAGGAACACTGTGATATTTCCAGGTTGTGAAAATACAGGTGTGCAAAAATGAGCCTACTGGCTCCACTAGCAAAGTAGACTAGAGCAAAATTCAAGGTACATAAGCAGAGGAAACTTTGAGCCATCTTAGCAACAGAGGAGAAGAAAAGACAAGCAATGTAGGAAGCACTGATATAATAAACCCTTATATAGTATGGGATCCAACCTATTCCTCTGAGTAAGCAATCTAGCTGTGAATCTTGACCAAGATAGAACTCAGAAGATCTGGATTCTCCCAGTGCTACAATTAATGATTTCTACCTTGAAGTATTTTGAATATTATTTTTGCAGAGGACAGGAGAAGGATCTTTCCTGACAACTCTTCTGCCAGGCTGAAGAAACTCTAAGATACTATCTTGAGATTAGAGAAGCTTTTAACAAAAAGCAACAACAACAACAAACACATCTGCCCACCTCAAAATTCTCCTCTTTCCAAAGCAAGGAAAAGAAAGAAAGAGAAATATCATAAACTAGCTGCCAATCAGAGCTCTATTCCAGATCAAGCTTAAGATATTTTTGCTTTTAATGTAATAAACTACCACCTACAATGGAAAAAAACCCCRAACTCGAAACTCTTATGGTGGTCCATAAACACCACCACTATTCTGTAATTCCAGCAGGCAGTTTCCTTAACCTCACACCCCTCCCATTAAACATCCTTCGTACCTTATACTCCTGGATGACTCCGTTTTGGTGATCTGGAGGTGGAGGATCCCAAGAGATGCTGATGCTTGTGCTGTTGTGGTTGCCAACTGTCAGGACAGTAACAGACTGAGGAGGCGCACTTGGAGCTACACCAGAGAACAAACAGAAGCAAGACATTAAACCACTTGCTAGAGCAGGAATTTTGCTGAAACAGTGCAAGAGCAAGGAGAGAATATACAAAGTTCACACTCCCTGCAGGCCTAGGTATGCATATTTTGTCAGGCACTGACAATTTTGAAAAATGGCTTTCTGAAGAGAAGCATAGCTCTGAATGAAAATGCAGAATTTGTGGCAATGGAGAATCAATACAAATCACTCCTCATTTATAGAAAGTGTGTCTTGATTTTGCATTGGAATTATTCTTAGACGTGCATTTGTTTTCTTTAATATGCATGGTTAGTTATGGATAGAACAACGGAGTCCTAACGTGAGGCTGCTTCGCCTGCCCTGGAAAGAGTTTCAATTCTTTTTTCTCCACACCATCTAATAAGAATGCACAGCAGTAGATGTTGGAGGATTTTTGTTTTTATTTGTCCTCCAAAAACACATTAACTTAGGAGATTAAAACATAAAATCTTGTAACTCCTGGGGGGGGTGGGGTGAAGTTGACGTATTTAGGGCTTTGCACTAGATGCCACTGAATAGGGCAGGTGATAAATTAGGCCGTATTGCACACATACATGTTTATGGCCTCTTTTCCCTTGGCCACTCTTCCTTTTTCTTTAATGTCTACTCTGCCGTCCACTGCTGTTTTGCTGGTCACTGAACATCAAGGCCAACCTCAACCTACAGAGCAAAGGTTTGMAGGCACAGCTACGCTGGCTGCAAGTGTGAACACGATCAGAGCCATCAGTGATGAGGGCTGTGCTGGCAAAGCCCCCCTCGCAGCGACACCAGCAGCAGGGTGCTCCCCTTGGCTGAGAACCTCTTGGTTGGGAAGGGATGCAACAGCTCAGCACGGATAATGAAAGAAATAGTCCCCCCTGTGWGCATCTGCTGCCTCTCCACGCGGGGGCTCTCCCACCCCAGCTATAGCTGCCAGAGCACACACACTGTGGTATTCGTCCCCCCTCGGCCACTCCAAGGTATTCAAGGGCTTTGCGGTGTCCCTTTTCCACTACCCTTCTGAACTAGTGCCTACCAACTCGACATTGCTGACATCTTAAGATAGGCATCCGGGAAAAAACACTGTTAATGGGGACAACTGCACTGCATTGGACCTAAGGTCTATCCTAGTGCATCTATCTAGTCTTCAACAAAACCAATATACAGAGCCTGCAAATGTAAAGACTGATAAGGAAAGCTTATAGTGATATCTCTCCAGGACACTTTACAAAAGCCCAGCAAGCTGAACCTCAGAGATGTTCTCTCCTGGGATGATATCTTTTGAATGTAGATCTCCTCCTAACTTTTTATTCTTATTCGTCATCACTTCTAATACAATGTTAAAACATTTCTAATATGAAATACAGATGCTTATTTCAAAGAACCGTAGCAGATCTTGAACCAGAGCCTAAAATATTTACTATGCCCTGCCCTGTCTTCAAATCTAATTTGATAATCCTCTGGTTCTCACATCTCACACTGCGGGTCGCGCCTTCCTAATGTCAATCCCTTAGTGTGGAGTATCCCACCCACAGAGAACTGTTTAATTGCTAAATTCTGAGGGTGCCAAGACTCTGGTCTTAGCTCTAATAGGTGTCCCTGGTTGTGTGAACACCCTTGGACTATGCTTCTCCAAAAAGTAAACCAAGAATCAGTGACTYGTTCGTATTAATGTCTGTCAAGTTTAACACAGCCAGATACAAGAGCATTCAAGCTTCCCAAGCCATTACAGCTTTCCTTGTTTCTTCCTGTGCTCTCCTTGAGACTGGCTGTGTTCCCACCTTGGACACTTCTCAGCATTTGAGCTGGCACAGGCACGAGAATCTGAGCTCAAATCCTCTGATAATCTTAAAGAGCTGGAGCAGCCTGTCGCAGGAATTACCTTGTTTAACRAAATGGGCCTATAACCCTATGYAAAAAAAAACAACAAAAAAAAGGGTTTTGTGAAGGATGGTATATGCGGGACTGCCCAGGAAGGCTGCACACTCTGACAGCAGCATTTTCAGATGCAGGTTCAGCTGCAGAGCAAACAGTGGTAGGTGGAGTCCTTGTGGCTTGGGTGATGCAGAAAAGCAGGGCACTAGACAGAACAAATGGAGCTCTGCGGTGGGCACTGGGCTCTACGGAGCCAGCTCAGGGGAGGAACACAAAGGTGGTCTCTGCCTGCTCCTTGCAATTGTGCAAAGTGTAAAACCGGTGAAGAGAATGGCTGGAGTGTGCATTTAATGGCAAAGAGAAAAGATTGCCACACAGTAAAAAAAGAAATGGCATTAAAAAAATTCTTCAAGTTATTCAATAACAAGAAAAGCGTGAATAAATGTGAGTGTGCTGTACTAATGAAAGCAACATTTTACAATAAAATAGTCTGAAAATGGCGAGGCTTAACACTGTAACTCATTTGGGTTTTTAAATAATACAGAATGTCTTGGAGAAATGTATTCACTTTCATCCTCGCACAGAAACATAAAGGGCACTCAGGAATATAATTCCTTATATACACACATCTAGAAACAGACAGAGTGAGAGAGTGCCAGAGCGAGCAAAGTAAATGCTAAAGAATATGTAAAAATGAACTGTTTAATCTAATATTTAAAGAAAAACACACTGTCCTCACTTGTATTTGCATTTGAAATGCACAAATATTTTGGTTAACATTCTATTAATGTGTCTTTATGTTTCTCGGAAGATAAAGAGTAATTTTGAAGTGACACATAAATTGCAAATGATGAATGCAACGGAAATCTCATTTTAAGCACTAAGGTAAGCAGGAATAGACACTGCTGATAAAAACTAAGAAGATCTCCATTACTGACCATCAGATTTTTGCCTGTCAAAACAGTGTCAAACAAAATACAGAAAAAAAAGGCTACTCCACAAAGTTATTCCAAAAGATATGTAAAATAGTAGATGTAATTGATGAGATTATCATCCGTCTTTAGAGAAAGAGCCAAAACAAGCAGGAAGTGAAAATTATTAAATTAAATATTCTACTTTGCTCTTTCTTTCTATAGGTAAGACACGTGCATAGAATCGTTCTGCCTCCTCGCTCTATGATAATATCACTCTGTAAGCTGGCACCATGATATAAATTAAGCCACTTGTCTGACACTGCTGCAGTTATTAAATAGACCACATTGAAAAATAACATTTTTTAAACCGTTTTCTCATTTCCCCTGCTGCTGGCTTGTGGAGAACACCTTGCCTGCTTCTTGACAGGTCAATTATTCCAGTGCTCAGCTCCTTCTTACAGATATGAAAGAACCCAAATCGCCGCTCATCCTTCCCGGGCGCAGCCCAACAGAATTCCATTTGTTACCTTCACAAGGCCAAAGAGGCAGGAGATGAATGGATACTGAATCGTGACAAATGCCGGATGCGGAGGAATAGTCTAACTGCAGCCAAATTGATTTGCAGAGGTAGCCCTCCAAAGTCACATGCCATGTAAAATTCAATCCAGCAAGAAGCTGCTACCGCCTCTTGCTCGTGCTTTGCCTTTACCAGGGTTAGTCACCTTGGTGTTGCGCAAGACTTTCAATATCCACGTCACCCTTACAACTTATTTTCTAAAAAAAATACATTTTTTGAGACACTTACAAAAATATCAATCTCAAAAGCTGATTTTCAAAATGGAGCCCAAGGCTAAACAGTGAGCAATATTCCTTTCAGTAGGCTGACATTCATCTCTACAGGATGGGAAGCAAACCACATTCTTTATACATTTGGTTGACGGTATTTTTCAAAATGTATGAACACCAATAAARTTACAAAGATAATGTAATTTTCTTGGAAGAATTAAGGGAAATCTCTGCAGAATGGCATCTACAAAAATTCCTAATTTTCTCATAGGGGTACTTAATGTTATTACTCAAGAATGAGGAATTATTTACAGGAGCTGACATTTGACTAGTGATAATACTGCATGTTATAGGCTTCTGCTTTATTAAAAAGATACTTGTAAAAGTCTGCTTGAAGATTATATTAATCTACAAAGCAGATCAGAGACTGTGATTTATACATATCTGTAGGCAAGAGRTTTTTTTTAAAGTCTTCATTATATGGAAAGTTATTCCACATGAAAAAAGTGGTCATTAAAGATGTAAAGCACCTAACAGGGACTGCTAGCAGGTGAGAGTTACAAAAGAAAATGTTATTGCTCAAGCATTTTAGGGATACAGATGGGAGGTACAAAATCTTCAAATCTTCTTGCTTTTTCAGTTGTTCTTAATTTACTATTAGCAGGAGAAAGATGAACAAAGCAAACAACAAAATTAAAAATGCACAATAATAAAATCTACTATGAAGGGGAAAAGTCTTACCTTTTACTTTTAGAAAGGTAAAAAGAAAGGTACAAAGCTTTTTCTTTTCAATTTTCATCCTTTTGGGKTTTTTTTAAGCTTTTTTCAAGCTGCTGCAAAGCTATTCTTTACTCACAGATTTAGTCTGTCAGTAAAAAAAGGAATTTGAACCAAGAAGTCCTAAATTTTAACCCTGACTTGAACGCTGGTTTTCTATGTGCTTTTATACAAGTTGCAGGACACTGAATTTTTCTGTAAAGTAGAGGTAACAATCAAGTCATATTCATGTTTACTTGCTTGTTGGGCAATAATCATAACAAATGAAGGTGAAAAGTGCAACTTTATTCTAGAATTAAAAAGTACTTGACAATCACCACTAACCGAAACCTCAGGATACCTCAGTAAATCATTAAGATTGTAACTTCAATAAGAAAGAGTGCACTCAAAACCTGCTAAAAGCATCTGAGCATTTTGAGAGTTCACCAGTGTTTCCTTCCCATAGTCTGAAAGAAATCAATGGAMCAGCCATAAGATGAACCCTCACTATAAAGATCATCCTTCTACTTTTACAGCAGGAAAGCTGATGATGGCTCAGACTCTGGGAATGGGCTGTATTATACAGATAGGTAGGTTTCTTGCACACTCCCAAGAGACCAGGATAAACTCACCTTCTTTGCTTTTCAAGAAAAAATGGCTATAGAGAGTTTATGTCTAAGCAAAATAATACTTGCACATTTTGGTGTAGGTTTGTGAAGTTAAGGAATCTTTCAACCTGACGTTAAGGAACCTGACTGAACTTACGATTAAATTATTAAATWATTAAGGGTTAAATAATTCCATGAAAGATGTGCTAGGAGAAACTGCAGAACACAATGCCCTTCCGAATGCAGGTCCTTCAGAACAGCAAAAAAATTGTCTTTCTCTAGTCCTAACAGATGAGCTCGGTTGTTCATCTACACTCTTTCAGAGTGATTTGGTTCCTTTTAAACCAAAATGAGCATCTGTACAAGACTTCATGTATTAGTTCTACTTTAAAAGTCCAGACCAAAATCCTTTATTGTGACAATACTGGTTAGAAAAGAATGGCCGCTCCACACAYGTTTTGAAAGACTCCGAGCCGCTTCTCACACATAAGGAGCAGGAATCAGCTAGAAGACTCTGAGACAGACCAGCTGAGTGCTTGTCCTGGCCCACAAAACTGCCTATTAACTTGAATTCTAGTGTGAATTTTGTATCAAACAAATAGAAATCATATGAAAGAAATGCAGTTGAACCATTGCGTATACAAAATAGCCAAAGCGATAATTCTTGATTTGACTTCCAGTACTAGATGTGTACGGCTGGTGCTTCTTCTGACCATTTTACTGACCTTCCTCAGTGGTCCGGGCAGACTTGGATTCACTGTCCATTCCTTGGAATTCGTTGAAATAAGGGCGGACTTTAATTTCGTAAGTGACCCCTTTTTTCAAGTTGACTAAGACAGCACTGCGCTCGGTCGGGACTTTGACCTCCAAATTCTGCCACACAGCTGGAGCAGAGAGGCCAGATGTTTGGCGATACATTACTCGATAGCCCTGGATAAACTGGGACTGGCGGTCGACCTAGGAACAGCATTAAATAATATGTCAATAAGCAAAGTGAAACTGAAACGTATACAGAGAAAATAAAAAGTTTACCAGGAATATTTATGAAAAAGAACAAATAAACAGTTACTTAAATCGTTGAATTTAAAAATCACTTGCCTTCTTGCAAGTCACTCTGCATTAAATATTCTTTAAATGAACATTCTGATTGTGTTATTTGTTATATGACATTTCTTCCTATTTTATTGACTCCAGTTATATATAATGACATATACCATCTTCAAGCATTAACTAAACCCYTACCCCTCCAACAAATCATAAAAAGAGAAGTTTGGCATAAGGCTTTACTACATGTAAACCTATCAAGGGCATTTTGGCTACTGAAGTGCTGAAATCTGAGAAGAAAGGCAAAACAAATTCCTTTCAGAATAAGACAAGTCTTTGAAGATGCCTTGTATGCTTTCAGTTAGTCCATTACTTGGCTTGCAGTTCATCATTTCATGAGATACTCAGGGAAGTAAAATAAACATAAGGCAGATGCAGAGAAAACAACATCCAAGGACACGTGTTGTTCCCTGCGCTGACGCCTAAGCAGTCTATCTGCATCCTGGGGCTGTGATGCCCTCCTGCCATCAGACAGGGGTGGAAAGCTCTTCTCTTCTATGTTACTTGTTGCCATCCGGAGGCTATTCAAGACTGGGATTGTATACAAAAGTTAAAAAATTCTGACCTCTCACGCCTATAAACAGAATTTTAATTTCACTGAGAAACTTTAAAAAAAAAATCTATTGGAAAGCTGCACATATTTCGTTTTCCTTTGGGAAACAAATGAACAAACAAACAAACAAAAAACCCAAAAAACAATGATTTGAGCTACTGTGATGCTTGCATGAATTTGCAGTTTAATCTTGCAAAAATAGTCAGAACTGTTTAATGCATAAAAGGAAATCAAACACAGCTGCCTCTGTCAAAGAAAAAAGAGCCACAGAAAATGCCTTACAAATGGCCATATAAATGCCTGATTAGTAAATTCCTGTATTGCAGCTAAGATTCAACAAGTAGGATTTTCTCTTCCTTCTTGACAGTTCTCTAGCTCAAAGATATTTCAGAATTAGAGATAGGCTTGTCTGAGTACTCGTAAGAATAAATGTATTTAAGACTGAAAACAGAAACCAAGGTCTATTCAGCTTTTCCTATAACCTTGTTATACAGTTTATTGAGTCATTCAGAGGGGACCCAGATTCTTAAGACATTAAAAAGCAGGGCAAACAAGAAAGCTTTATTTATGAGAGCATAGCAGAAATGTCTTTCATCAAAACTGTCACTGTTAAAAACCTTACAACATATGTTACAACAACATTAAGCTTGCATTTTATAAACTTCTCTACATTCACTTTAAGTGAATTTATGCACTGAAAGAGGGATATAACTCACAATAATAGCTTGTTAATACCGAAAGAATCAAGCTGTGTTTTTAAGAAGAACATTAAGCAGCTGTTTCCAGATGAAGGGAGTCTGTAAATCAGAGTAAATTGTTTTTATCCATGTTTGACTTTCATTAATTAAATGTTTTACGGACATGAAGACTTTATGAACCTCATGTTTACTACAAAATTCTGTAAGAACTCTTTCATTTACTTTGTAATACAGAATTTCAACCTAAATTATAATACATGGCTATGATGTTTAATAATCAAAAAATGAAGTCTGATTTCTGTCTAACTTATGGGAAAGGGAGTGTTAAGTTCTTTACAGCTTTCAGTTCTGTTTGYTGTAATTTTAAAATCTGTTGATTGCTGTCAAGTGGAGGACGTGCAAATCTCAAATTTGACTAAACTGAACAGCAACCATACGTTGCTAAAAAAGCGGATGGAAAATGTTTTGCAGGACGCAGCATAAACAGCAACAGAACTGCTAACTCACTGAGAAGAACTGCACGACTGGCCAGAAGTTCCACAAAGCCCTCTGAGAAGAAGCCACTGTTCATACTCWGGACTCTACTGCTATTGTATTCTACTCTGTGCTATTTATTTGATACACTTCTGATACACTCTTCGTACTGATATACATACATATGTATATATACACACATAAACATTGAACATTGAGTATTAGTCAATACCAAGCAGAAACCAGGCTGTTTCTAATAACCATGTCAAAGTTAAATAAACTGGGCCTTTCTTAGAGTCAAAACGTTGGGAAGCTACTGAAAGATCATGGTCTGTCCTTACTCAAGGTCCTTAATTTCATTGTTGTTGGAGCATTGTCATTAGCCTAGAAAGCACTTTTCTTAGATAGTTACATGGATTAGCCAGGGACATCATGAGGAACAAAGGAGATTTATTTCATATGCATACGTATATGCATAGATACAAGTATGTATGTATATGTGTCTATATGTATATATGTGCATACATGCTCACAAACATGGAGTCTAATATATATAGCAAAACGCTCATGCCTCCATTGTTCTTTGTTTGTTATGTGGCAATGCTGTGTCACTCCAATGACACGACACTAAAAATACACTTAGCGTTAAAAACTTGTATTCAGTTGTGCTTAGCATCACATAACTCTCCTGGTTTGGTACTCGTTCACATTTAGATAGGTAGAGCTATAGAATCAGGCTCAGTGATTTGATGAAAGAAAATACTAATGTCTAGGTACAGAAGAAGCATTCCCTTCCTTTTATTCTTGTAAATGTATGTCACTTTCTCTTACMAAATACTAAGCATTGCTACAGAAACTGCAGTTCTCTGAGCTAAATATTAAGATGAGAGAACACTGCTAATCGTGTGACAATCTGAACTACTCCAGAATTCACGCAAGCAGCTGTTTCTCCCTCTCCATACATAGTAAGGGAGGTATCTGTAAGACCTATGACAGCACTCCATTTTTGTGGAACAGGAAACTCTTTTTGCCTTAACGTTCAACTCTGCACACATCCCATTTGAACGTGAGGCCGGTTTGGTAACTGCTGAAYGCGTCTGTGGAGCTATTCAGTCGCTAAGAGGACGGCACAGGAATGTCTCAAGGCAGCTCGGAGCACAAGATGGCGGCCCGCGGGCCCGCCAGGCTGCACGAGCACCCTCGGCCATCCCCTGGAGCAGGGTGCCTCGTGCACCGTGCTGAGCCCTCTCAGGAAGCGCCCACAACACCAGCACCTACCGGTCTACAGGGACCAGAGAAAGGYGTAAGACAGGTGCCCTTAATAATGTGCTTTGTTAAAAGTCCACGTAAAAATTAAAAGCCATAAGCAAATAAATTATCCTGCTGTCTAACTGCCCCAGAATTCCTGGTGTAGCTCGTCAGGGTTTCCAAGCAGCAGAAAYGTGGCAGCACTGGAGAAGAGCTCCTTAGGGAAGTGATGGGTAATGAGGAATAAGAGGGGAGAAAGGGGACTCTGAGGGCGTAATGGGCCTGTATGGGCAGTAAACACATCGCGGAGGGGCATTAATAGCAGGAGAGGACCCAAATAAACTAGATTCAAGCTGAGCCAAAATATTTGACAAATATGTATCGTAASTGACAAAAATCCATGCTGGATGTGACTAAGATTGGTGATAAACTTCTAAAATCATGGGGATCACTGTCCTCTCCAGTTAGGTCCAGGTGTAGATTACCACCTCTGTGACCACTGTGWCAGCTAAGCACAGAGTTAAGCACAGAGTGCCTTGGAAGGCACCAGAGTTACAGGGGCCTGTAGGAAGAACACGGCTTCTTCCTTCATGGCTATGCCAGTTAGTTCTCACACCGTGGACAGGGATTTCATTCCTGCTTATGACACACATCTCCTCTACAGTGCTAGGGAACTTTTCACATTTGGCTACCAATTGAACCCTCATTTTTCTGAATATGCCAAAAAATGGGACTAGAAGTGCTAAACTGCAGCTGGGGTCAGCTGGAAAAGTGTTTTGAGCACATGATGTTGCAGTAATGCTAAGTCCTTTGATAAAAATAAACATAAATAAAGCCTAAGGTTTCAAATTAGGTACTCGATATAATGAGTATATCTGATACAGAAAGTCTAATCAGCATTAAATATCTCTGCAATTCAATTTCCCTCTGTGTAAAGTTAGGATAATGACACATTTTTATCATTGTGACAGTAAGTTCAGAATTATTTGTGAAACATCCAAATACTATGGTTGAGAACATGACAGTTAAGCCTGTGAGACAAACTAATAATTTTTTATTCAATGCAAGGCTTCAATGGTATGAATTAAATAAGACCTGGCAATTCAATCAGCAGTGGATAAAGACGATAAGACAAAAATCAAAGTTGAATAGCTCCATGAAGAAGAGATCCCACGAGAAAAAAAAAAAAAGGACATGACCACATAATTATAGCTGTACTGTATTTATGCGAAAGAGGGAAACATTAGGGGCCAGTGAAAAGCCAACTTCTGACATTCCTCCCTTTTTTAAACACTGACATTGTAAGTCTGACCTYGTAAGAGTGACCTCCTTTTAAGATAGACAAAATATGTGAGTCCATGTGTATTTGATTGCAAAACATTCTAAAATTGCAGCAGTGTAGCAGAGAATTAGTTTTAGATTTTTAAATTCAAATATGGTAAAAAAGAAGGCAAAGTTAAAAAGAAAAAAGAAAAAAAATGTCTGAGAGAGAAAGTGGTGCTGACCTGCTGGCCGTCAGAATGCCAGAACCCAGGGTTTGGTAACCCAGACACTCACTCTTCGAACTGCTGAAGGGCAAGACCAAGAGTTTTATGACTTTTCTAGTACTTTTTTTTCTTTTATATGTTAGCTACACTAGCAAATCTATCAATATCAAAAGTGAAGATTTTTTTCTCTGTATAAAGTGTATTTTTTCCTAAAAATTTTAATCAATTGCCTTTGTTCTGGTTCCTTAGCTATTCTAGAGCTATTCTACTTTTTTTTTTTTTTTTTTTTTTTTGGTATCCTTCATGCTTTAGCCACTTCTGAAGCGACTTTGCAGATGCCAGTGTGATTTTCATGTGGCAGAGTGTCATTCTTT